CCCCAAAACCCCAAAACCCCAAAACCCCAAAACCCCGGTAATTTTCAATTTAGTTGAATATTTCGGAAGTCAAAAATTTCAAATTAATAAGGACTAATGAAGTTATCCTTCCTAATCCTCACAGCTTTTGAGTGCATTCTTGGAGCTCCAGTAAATGAGGAAGCAAAGGGAAGCACCCTCTTCTCTTGCTTATACTGAGACCTTCTTCTCTTGTGGCTTGTCTTTGGCATCTGAGTTCCGTAAGAAGAAGTAAAGATGCATCTCTTGCCTTTATTTGAGAACACCGGGGCCTCTGTTTTTCTGTGATTCATTGATACACTTTTGATTATTTTGCCTCTGTTTTCACCTCCGGCAATACTGATATGATGCCTTGTGAAACTTTTTACAGCATTCGAAGTGGCCTGAGGGTATTGAGACACTAATTGGTTCATTACAGTGTCGTAGACACTCTGCTTTGGATCCTGTCTGTATATAATTTGAGAAGTATTAGTAATTGCCTTGACTCTATTTTGTAGCCATTTATTCCTATCCCTAGATTGCTCTTCAAGATTGTTTCTAAACTCTGAAGGAATTTTGTTGAATAAATCATTCTTTGAAATTCTCAAAGCTACTACTTGAGTCTTGGCAATGATAGAAAAAGGAAAAGGGAGGTCATTTAATATCAAAATGTCTTCTCCTACCCAGTCATAAGTTCCTCAAATCCCTAACTGAAAGCTACTAGTAGTCTCAGAAGTATATCCCTTAATTGAGACAAGTTTATTTAACTCTCTCTGCAGCTAAATAAAATTAAGCCTCCTACTTACCACTGAGTCTTCTAGAAAGAGGATTTTTACTACTAACTAGAGCACAAGTGCCAGACTTAATGATATAAGCATATTCATTAATTTTTCCTTCAGTGACAAGCTTCATCCTAGGCATGAAGATTTTTTCTCTAAATCAGCTGTTAACTTTATTCCTGGCTGCCGCACTTATCTTGTCAAGACCAGGGATGGCCTTGCTCAAGAACTCAAGTTGCTCAAGCTGGCAATGGTTACTCTTGACTATTCTCAGGTATTCTTTATATCTCTCAGAATCTCATTTAATTATCCGAGATTTTTCAGTTACTATAACAAATTTAGTTAATAATGTAGACAAGTGATCTGGATCAACTTTTGAATATTTTATTTGTGATTTGAACTGACCCAGGGGAGTAACTTACCGATTCAATACAGCTCCTTCACAGAACGATTTCTCTCAATGATTTGTTTGAAATCTCCGAAGTGGTCAAGCTCTCCAAATGAAATGGGATCTAGCCTATCAATACCAAGGTCTTCAGGATTGTTACTATTCAGCAGCTTTATTGGGGTGAATTTCATACCTGGTTTTTCAAAATAAACCGTTACTTTTCCTTTAAGAATTATGAAATGGTTCGGAGGGTTTGAGAAATATGAAGCTAGGTCTTCTACATGGAGCAGGACATCTCCTTTGTTGTAGTTTGTATAAATCTCATTAGAAACTCCATATGTATTTTTAGCCATGAGTTCTTTCAATTTTAAATAAAAATTTAGGGGTTTTGGGGTTTTGGGGTTTTGGGGTTTTGGGG